TTCCTTCCGGAGTGCTGGGATTAAAGGCCTTTGCCACCATGCCTGGCTCAGATTATTTTTTAAAATGAAAGGTACTTGAGAAGTCTTAAAGGTGAACAGAGTGCTAAAAGTGTAGCTCAGTGCTAGGCACATGCTTAGCAGGTTTGAAGCTCTGCAATTGATTCCCATCATGGGGGGACAAAAGTGCAAGTACGTTTAAAAGGTGAATATTGAAGATATAAATGGGAAATGTGTGAGTCAAAATGAACTGGCCTTGCAGGGAAGAGGCAGCTCCCTCCCTGCTCTAATAGTTAATGAGGAGGTGGGAGGATTTTTTATTTTAACTTTTTTGAGACAGAGTAGGTTCTCCCTATGTAGACCAGGCTGGCCTCAAACTCACAGAAATCGACCTGCCTCCTTAAGTGCTGGGATTAAAGGCGTGTGCCACCCCACAGAACCAGAGGATTCTGATGGTGCTAGAAAAATTGTGTTGCTGGGAGATGAGAGAAGGGTTCCTGCTGCTGGCTTTCATCCTCTAGGGAAGCCAGAGAGAGGTGGTTACCAGAAGTCTGAGCAGAGTGGAGGAGAAATCGTGGTTTCAGGGAGCGAGAAAGCAGCGACAGCTTGAAGCCTTGGGAGAGTAGGTAGGACTGAAGATACAGGTGAGGTGGCTTTCCTTTGGTTGGAGCAGAGAAAATGAGGAAAACAGAGTAAGCAAAAGCTTGGAGACTCCTTTCCCACTTCCTGTGGAAGGAGCACTGACCTAGAATATTCCAGTCAGAGGAAGCTAAGGATCTTCAAGCTTGTCACCTAGTGCAGTAGCCATCTGTGACTTTAAATTTGAACTGGGCTTGACTTGTGCACACCTGTAAATCCATCGCTAGGGAGAATGATCTGAGTTTAGGCCAGCTTCAGCCTATAGCAAAAAGACAGAAACAGAAACCCTTAAAGCTTAGCTTCTCAGTTAGACTAGTCATATTTCAGACACACAGTAGCCACCTCTAGCTAGTGGTCACCATAATGCTCAGAAAAACTAAACATTTTCATCTCAGTAAGTTCTTGGACAGCACTGTTTCAGAAAACTGTTTTCTTGGGAGCTGTCGATGTAGCTCAGTTTGTAGAGTGCTTGCACAAGTCCCTTGGTTTGATCCCTAACACTGAAAAAACAGAACAGTAAAACAAGTTATTCTCAAACCTTTTGATATGTGAACTCTTATGCTTTTTTTTTTTTAAAGGAGGCAAGGTTTATTAGTTGGTACTTTCAAAGGTTTCAGTCCATGAGTAAGTAAGATAGAAACATGGTGGTAGAAGCAGACGTCAGCTTGCTCACCTCGTGGCAGCCAGGAGGCAAGAAGACTGCAGAGCTGGAGAGATGGCTCAGTGGTTAAGAGTGCTGGCTGCTCTGGCATAGAACCTGGGTTTGAGTCCCAGCACCCACATGGTGAGAGGAGACAACTGACTCTCTTTTTTTTCAATTTATGTGTATGAGTGTATTGCCTGCATGTAAGTACACCCGTGTCATGCAGTGCACTCAGAGGTCAGAAGAGGGCATCAGATCCCCTGGAACTAGTTGTGGATAATTGTTAACCACCATGTGGGTGCTAAGATTCGAACCCGGGTCTTCTGCAAGAAAAACCAGTGCTCTTAAACTGCTGAGCCATCTCTCTAGCCCCAAGAACTGACTCTTGAAAGTTGTTTTCTGACCTCTACATGTGCACCATGGAGAGAGCATACACAAACACATACATATATATATATACACACATGCACATCATATGCACATACACATAAATAGTTTAAAAAACAATAAACACATCATATTTTATGAGAAATAATTATATACTAGAATAGAAAAGGAGGAGGAGGATATCACTGCTCTCAGTTTTTGCAAATCTCTCCTGTCTTGCTCAGTAGAAGGCAACTTTATTCCCATATCTGCTTCTGAATCTGTGTGATGTGACCTTGGGCAATGTCATCTTTGGAAAGTAATTAAGGTAGATGGTATCTTATTACCATGAAAATAGTTCTGGCCTTGTGCACCATCTGACAAGCCACTCTTTGGAGAGTCACTGTTCTAGAATAATCTCTACATAGTACAGAACTTGTTCCTGAGAGATTGATTTGTCTGAAGTCACACAGTAACTAATCGCAGCACTGGCTAGACTCTGTGCCTCTGCCTCTGTTCTGAGGCTTTTCCCATCCCCTTAGCTGGGCTGGGCTGGCTCCTGGCTGGCCTTTTGGGAGCAGGGCCTAGGCTGCTTGGCTGCAGAGCCCCTGGTGTGTGGTCCTATAAATAAACCCATTGTGTAGGAACCCCTTCCCTCTCCCCACCTCCAGCAGCTGCTATTTTTGTTGTTGGGTTATGCTTTGGACAGGGAACCAGGAGGGCCCAGATAGGAATGTTGAAATCTAGAAGTCTTTAGGGGGTTAAGGGCACACTGCCGCCTGCTCTGCCTGGTCCTGCTGTTAAGTGGCTTTGGAAGAACCCGTACCACCATGGTAGGTCCTTAGAGTGCCTGTGAAGAGGACTTGGAGGGAAGATGCAGTAGGCATTACTGCAGAAGGGCCTTGTGTCTGTACCAGTTGTCAGGAGAAAGGAAGGGTTCACTCATCTGCCCTCTTTCCCTGGGTGCTGAGTCTAGTTCGAATTCGTGGGGCTGAGTGTTGCTTTGGGCCAGGGATTAAGTGGCCACTCTCAGGTCCTTATATCGTTGCCCACACCCATCGTGAGCCAAGGCTTGGCTGAAAGAAATGTCCACTGTGGATATAAACGTTGCTGCTTACAAGGGGTATGACAGGCTGGGATTCCAGAAAGCAGCTGGCAGGGGAGCCAAGGGAACTGATTGGTATTGCTGGTTGAAGTTCTGGATGGTTATTTAAGCTCCCCCATCTCTGCCTTCCTGCAGCTGCCCACCCCTCCCCCACTGCGTGCCCCTGACTCTTTTCCCGGGAGGACTGTGGGGAGAACAGCTGGGGAGTGAGGGGCTCCTCAGGGCCAGAAGGCCTTGGCTTGTGTCCCTGGTGAGGAGGCACAGTTGCTGCGTTTGTTTGAGACCCGATCTCACTTTGCAGTCCAGGCTGCCAGGCTAGCTTCATACTGGCCGTAGTCCTGCCCGGGGCTCCCAAATGCAGGGATTACAGGTGTGAGTCACAGAGCTGGCTGACCCAGAGACTTGCGAGCAAGTTTTCCCTTCTCTGTCCTGGCTGCCTGAAGTCTGCTCCCCCGCCCCACACCTCTACAGGCCAGCAGAGAACACTCTTTCCCCTCCCCTCTGGGGTCACCTCCCTCTGTATCAGGCCTTTGTGGCAGGAGAGGCCTCGCCATTGGCAGTTCTTGTGGGAGAAGCTTCCAGTTCAAGTTAAGAGTTCCCAAACCCAGCCTGGTTGGCATGGAGTGTGCCTGCTCCAACACCCCCAGTGGGCTGTGGAACCGCATGGAGGAATGTTTGAAACCAGGGCCCCCCTGAGACCCAGGCCTGGGTTTTCCCCAGCAGCTGGTGGAATTGAACACAGAAGCCCTGGGTCCTGAGGGAGGAGGAGAGTGCTAGGCCCCTGGGGAGCAGTGACATTCCACATATATACAGCCTCTGGGGAAATGACTTATGCTGGCTTTGTCCCCTGAGAGTTAGTCAGAAAACCCATCTCCAAAGAGCCAAGTTCTTGTCGCTGTTTGGTTTGGAGCTGGAGGTGACAGTGTCCCAGTGCACACAGATATTCTCCGGAGGGCCAACAGGACAAGAAGTTTCTTTGAGAAATCTTTTTAAATTAAAAAAATAAATAAATGAGTAGTATATAAATATGTAGGCCAGGCTAGCTTTGAACTCAATGATCCTCCTGCCTAAACCTCCCAAGGCCTATAGACTTGTGCTAACACAACTGGCTTTTTAGAAATCCAGCTCGGGCCAGGAAAATAGCTCAGGAGGAAAAGGTGTTTGCCACCAAGCCTGTTGATCTGAGTTCACTTCCCAGCGCCCACATGGTGGAAGGTGAAAACTTAACTCCCACTCACACAAGTTGTCCTCTGACCTCTACATGTGAGCAGAGGCACACACACACACACACACACACACACACACACACACACACACAGTAAATGTAATGAAATAAATCCTCAGCTTGTATTGTGGCCCCACACATAGGCATATAGGCATGTGCTCCTCCCCACCACCAAGTTTAAATGCAGGGCTTTTCCTGGGGCTTCTCCGCAGTGTAGGCTGACAGCTTCCTGCTTGTGGAGGCCCTGCGGACTCCATCTGAGTTGGCCCAGGCCTGTGGTGGGAGGGTACAGTGTGAATGACTCACAGTCTTCCTTCAGGCAACTTCTGGAGAGAGCTGCAGGGGAGAAGGTCACCCCTGGAGGCTTAGAAACGGGAAGGCCTCCTTCCTTCAGGCCTTGTGGCACTCAGCGCCCTGCCCTGGGATTCATAGGGGCTTGGAGAGAGTCAGTGGTTGACTTGTGGGGGATGGTGGGTCTCCACCAACTTCACAGAAAACCACAGTGTATGAAAAACGTTCACAGTCCACAGCGACCTCCAATTCTGGACCTCCCTCCTGACCGGGATGTTTTTCTATTGTTTTAGGAAGAGACAGCCTAGTAAACCACCTTCATCCTCCTTTGGATTTTGGTTGATGTGAAGACAAACCTTTGAGCTTCTCCAGCTTCTAGCTTTATTTCCTCTGGACCCTGGACACCTCCCTGTTTGTCCCATTTGCTTCATTCCCCTTCCACAGTGAATGGTGCACACGTGTGCTAACCCCTTTGCCCTGGGGGCTACTCGGGAAACAAATGCTGGATCCAGGGGAAGGCTGATCACTGGGGACAGGCCTCCCCTAAGGCAACAGGAACCACAAACTGGAGCTGGAGGATGATAGCCAGAGACCAGAGTTGAGGGGTGGGAGTCGAACTGGTTGGATGGTGAGGGTAAATAAGAGCTTTTTAGGTTTTAACTCCCGCTTTTGTATGTGGGAAGGAAAATACTTAAGGAGTACATGACTGACATTACATCCTTGTTTCTCCACAGGTGAGGTGACCGTTCGGGCTGCCAAAGTGAGCGTGCCAGCCTGGGTGAGAAGCAGAGACTGGTGAGGGGCTTGCGGCCTGTACATGCTGGTGATGGGGTTTGGGGATGAGAGAACAGGAGTGCAGTCAGGTGCTGAGGGACTCCCTCTTCTATAGTCTAAAAGCTCTAATCCACTTTTATGGGGGGTTAATGGGACAAGGAGGAGGGAGAAGAGCTGTCAGTGGTAGCAGAAGGCATCCACCCCTTCCCACTAAGAAGGGTTTCCTGTTGCTGTTTATTCATTACTCTGTGTCACTATGCCGGTATACTTGATAGAAACATCTCGAAGGTGGAAAGGTTTACTTTGGCTCACATAAGGGAGGGCGGTGTGAAGTGGCCCCATCCGTGGTGGGGGAGTTGTTCACAGCCTGCTGACCAGGAGACAGAGAGGGTAGGCTTAGTAGAGACTGAGCTATATTTCAAAGGTCCATCCTTAGTGACCTACTTCCACCAGCTAGGCCTCACTGCCTAAAGGTTTCACAACCTAGCAAAACAGCACCACCAGTCTGCAAACATGTGATCAAAATGAGCCTTTGGGGATCATTTCAGATTCAAGCCATAACATGCCAGAACTCATATAGAAGCTAAAGATTCATCAGTTAAAGCTAGCAACAATGGCCAGAGTCTTGTGGGTAGGAAAATCGCATAGCACAGTGCCTGCTGTGCTTGTGTGGTCCATGGCAGACTAGTCTGTCATGTCATCAGTATGTCTCCCACATGGCAGATTTCACAAGAGTGTGAATTTAGACAGGGCAATGAGTGTCATACCCATGCTCAGGAGCTGACCCAGCAGAGGGATTAGCATGTGTAAAGAGGCCGGTCCACTGGGGCCTCCCTGGCAGTGCCCTCTCCTCTCCATCTTTGAGGATGCTGGGTGCGTGAGTCACTTGAACCTAGAAGAGGGAGTGTTAGAGGCACATAGGACACTTTCTGCTGTGTCCATGAGGAGACAAAGACCAAGAAGGGACCCTATCCCAGCAGAAGTGAGAGCCACGACTGGGAGCCAGGCACTGAGCCTCTGCTGTATCTGTGTTCACACGTGCCCAAGTCCTAGCTACACCTTTGCAGGCTACTTCTCGGGGTGCTCTCTTGTCTGTGGTTATAGCTGACTCTCATATTTGGCTCTTAAAACCACCCTCCTGGGAAGGAATCCTACCTATTTCTCAGAATTAGGAAACTGAGGACCAGTTGATTGTCGAAGTAAATGAACAAGCTAAGCAAATTTTCATGTGTTTATCCAGCCCAGGACAGATAGACAGGACAGAGCCTGGTAAAGCCTTTCAGCTGCAAAGTCAGGGTTTGTTTGTGCCTCGCTACCTTCAGCCTGTCCTTCCCCTAGTCAAGGGGCGGCTGATACTCAGAACAAAATCCAAATTGTTTTACTCGTTACATTAGTGGAGACTGTTATTGTCACTACTATAAGTGATGTTCATGTGTTTGAAGTCAGGGGTTTTTGTTTTGTTTTGACTTTTCAAATCACTTCTGCAAACCTAATTTTTATTTGTCAACCCTTAGGAAGATTAGTTGATATAGGTGTTATTTTGTAAACAGAGGTATGGGAATCACTGAGGAGGTCACCGACTTGGTAATTTGTGATGGATCCCAGCAGAGAATTCAGGGTCTAGGCCCCTATCCTAGGGTATGTATGTGCAAGAGCAGGAGTTTCTATAGCAACAACCTCTTTCCCAAGAAGGGAAGAGTGAGCAGGAGTCACCCAGCCTGACCTTGAGTTGTTGCATCGTACAGTCATAACAGAAGTCCCCAGGAGTTTTGTCTTTCCTCCTGCCTGACTCCTTCTCTTGCCTGGGAGTAGCCTGCCAGGGCTTCTCTCTCTTGTTACCAGGGCCTGACATTGAAGGCCATGGACCAACCAGCTAGAGGTCCAGGAAACACAAGGCTGACAGCTGGGGATGATGGGAGCAGCATGGAGCCTGACACCTGCCAGGAGCTTCTGCACCGACTGCAGGAGCTGGAGGTATGTGGCCCCAGGGTGGGCAGAACTCTGAGGAGTCAACACTGCCCACCTCTGACCTCAGTGTGGGCTTTACCACGTTGGAGAAGGCTAGGCATTTCTTTAGCAGCACGCCTCTGAGAAGCGCGTCCTTGCTCTCAGCTCTCCAGCTCAGGTGGCAGCTCGGGGACAAGTACAGTCACAGGGTGAGCTATCTTATACCCTAAATGACATCTTCTCTCCTCACCTTTAAGCCCTGGCTGGCTCCAGCGAGAGTGATGGTCACAGAGGTCGCTCCAAAATAGTTAGATGAACCAGGGCCCACTAGTCGATGGACAAGGAAAGGATCTTCAAGCCAAACTTTTTCCACATTCTTTTTTGTTTTGTTCTGGTTTTTGAGACAGGGTCTCACTATGTAGTTCAGGCTGGCCTTGAACTCATGTCCTTCTGCTTTGGCCTATTGAGTACTGAGACTGTAAGTGTATACCACTGTGCCTGAGTGAGTTTTGGGGTTTGTTGTTGTTTATTTAATGGTGCTGGGGATTGAATCCAGGACCTTACCTATATCAGGCAAGCATTCTACCATTAAGCTATATCCCCAGCACTTTGAAACAGGGCCTTGAACTTGTCATCCTCCTACCTCAGCTTCTCAAGTAGCAAGGCTTTAACCCCTCAGCTGTTAAAGACTCAGGCTAACAACCAAAAACTCAAGTACCTAGGATTATAGGTATATACTATCATGCCCAGCTCCTTGCCGCATTCTGAAGACTTTGTCTTTCTCCAGACTCCTGTGCCCACCTCCTGGGGAAATTAAGGGTTCTGGCACCTCTCACTCAGCTCCTGCTGGCCACTGTGGCTTCCCAATCCCCCATCAGTGATGGAGGTGGGGCTCCATTCCATCTCAGCTCTGCCCCACTGTGTCCTTGGTCATCTCTGCAGGTTGCTGCATGCGGGCTGCAGCTAGTACACTCTTGGCCTCCCCCCCCCCGCCAGGGGAAGAATGGGCCCCAAAGCTTTCCTCTTCTTCCTCAACCCTGCAGGCAGAGAACTCAGCACTCGCCCAGGCCAATGAGAACCAGCGGGAGACTTACGAGCGCTGTCTGGATGAGGTCTGTGGGGTCAGCTGTGGGGCTCTGCTGGGGATGCGGGCGGGCGGACACAGCTTGTCAGCTCAGCCTCTTGGCTTTCTGCCCCCAGGTTGCCAACCATGTGGTGCAGGCACTGCTGAACCAGAAGGTGAGTGACCTCAGGAAACGTTCTTATACTCCCACCCAGCTGCCCTGTGATAGACCCAGGGTCTAGGCAAGAGGCCCTGCCCTGGGACTGCACAGCCTCAGCCAGGCCTTCACTAGAGACTAGAGAAGGGGGCTTGGAGGAGCTGGCTATTGGTTCTCCATTTAGGCCCCTTTACTGTCTCTGGCAGGTCCTTTTTTTTCTTCTACCTGGAAACAGGGATGGGTATGTAAGGCTAGGTCTCTGAACTGTGGGAACTTTGGTTTGGATCTAAAGCCTCGCTTTAGCCCCCCACCCCACCCCCTGCTGAGTTCTGGTTGTGGTGACCCCGACCAAAGGCAGCATTGATGCTGTGAGCACAGCGGCCTTCAGATGTTCACTCAGATACTGTGGTCGCTCTGACAGAGGGACCACTCTGACCTCAAGATCTTCCCTATCTCATATGGGCTCTTCTTTGTTTGACATGTGGTTTCTAGGAGGGAGGAAACTGGCATCAGGGATTGGGAAATCTCAGAGAATGGGCTTTCACCTTCCATTAGGGTGATAAACATTAGGGAATTTATCTCCAGAAGAGACTATAGCTGCAGACACAGCAGGCTGAGATGGAAAGATCTGTGCTCATTCTGCTGTCCCTCTCCTGCCTCCTCCCCTTTGCTTCTTCCACATCCTGGGTGGCCAGGACCTGCGGGAGGAGTGCATCAAGCTGAAGAAGAGGGTGTTCGACCTGGAGCGGCAGAACCAGATGCTGAGCGCGCTGTTGCAGCAGAGGCTCCAGCTCACAGCCGGCTCCCCCGCTCAGGTGGGCACAGGCGCTTCTCCTCCACAGGCCACTTCCTGTGGCCCCATTGGCATCAGCACTCTATTTCACCTCACAAGAAGTGGGCTATCAGCTGTCCCCCTCCACATTGGTGGCTGTGTGTCCAGGGAAGTCCTGCCAGCCTTATTTGATTTGCACCTTAGCTGAGAGGCATCTCCCTGAGTCCCCACCACAAGCTTAGCTGTCACCTTCTTTCCAGGTTTTCCTCACCCAGCTGGATGATATCTCTTGTTTGTTTGGTTTTGTGAGGCAGGTTCTCACTCTGTAGCCCAGGCTCACCTCAAACTTGAACTCCTGCCTCTCAAGCACTGGGATTAAAAGCATGAGCCACCATTTCTGGTTTATCCCTTATTATTGACAGAGAAAGTTCACATGTGCTCCTGTCCCGTGTAGGGAGCTGGGTGGAGGCTGCAAGTGCAGTTATTTCCAGCTCCCAGGAGGCCTCCGTGGCCGCTAACGTGGCCTCTTCCTAGCCAGGGATAGGGCAGGGCTAAGCATAAGACAGTTCAGAACTTCATGTCAGAAAGAGGCCAGGAAACTCTAGCTGTGGGGAGGTAGAGAGGCCCTGATAACTTTGGATACAGACAACGGCATATACTGGCCACTGGCACACATGTTCACAGGCATAGGTCTCTGCTGGCAGCCTGGACCCCTGCCTGCTCCAGGAGCCACGAGAGGCTCCAGGAGTGAGTTCTGAGTTCATTTGTCACTGAGATTATTCTGTGAGGGACCCCAAGGATAGGGTGAGACACAGGGATGAGAGGATCGGGAGCAGTCCTGGAAGTCAAGGGAGCAGTAGGTTGCTTCTCACAGCCACCAGCCCCTTTCCCCATTTTGACAAGAAAAGAAGCACTTTCTTAGGGACAGGTCTGTGAGTCAGTGTCTGTCTGAATCTGTGTGTTTGTCTGAGTAACCCAGTCAGGCATCTCTGATCCCCCATGTTACCAAGACAGTGTAGAATTTGGTCCCAGTCAACAGGAGAGAATCTGCAGCTGTCCCTGCTGTGCATCTGTCCCACTGAAGAAGTCATCCGAGAGCCTTGAGGCCTATCCACTAGCAAAGCTCACACCATCTCAGAGACTGTCAAAAGAGCATAGAGCAGCCTTAAGTCACTTATTTTTTTTCTAAATGAACTCTGGGACCACTTAGGGTTTGAGGCCAATAGATTTTTTCCTTCTCAGAGTTAACATGATGTAATGGAAAAGTGTAAACCTTAGCCTCAAATAAACTGGAATTGGATTTCTAATTGAACCACTTCTTACCTAAGTGGCAAAGTATCAAACTATATAAATTTTAGGGTTTTTTTTCCTTACAAATGTTCACAAAATACTTATATTGCATGTTGTTTCAAGGCTTAAATGAGATAGTATATAGTGCTTGGCTCATGGGAACTCAGTGAATGGCAGCAGTTTACCATTATTAATGCCATTCCCAGGTTGTGCTTTGCTGGGATGAAAACAGTATTGAGCAGATGCTAATTAAACTCTTCTCCTGAGCAGTATTGGCAATGCCTGTGGACCTGAACAGAAGCCTGGGGGTTGCATCCTGTCAGGATGGGTGTGGCCCTGGAAGGCTGGGACCTCTGAGAGGCAGGTCTGTAGACAGCTACGCTACAGAGTCAAGTGTGACCGTGCAGGAGAAGACACAAGCGCAGGAGAAGACACAAGCTCTCACAGGACTTGGGGTCAGGGAGTGACTCAGTCTGTAAAGTGTTTGCCACACAAACATTAGGACTTGAGTTTGATTCCCAGAGCCCGTGTTAAAAGCTGGGCATGAGGACATGCACTTGTGATTCACTCTCTGGAGAGGTAGAGATAGGCAGAGCCCTGGGGCTTGCCGACCAGCCTAGTCATTGAGCCCCGGGTCCTAGTGAGAGACCCTATCTCACCAAAACAAGGTGGGTGGCTCCTGAGGAACAGCAGCCAGTTAACCTCTGGCCTGCATGTACACCCTTGTGTACATACACATACATGTACTAGGAAGATTATTATAAGGAAATGACATTGGACCTGGGTGTGGATGGATAGTAGAGAGACAGAGTCTTACCAATGCTGAGGAAAATTCCCCATGGAAAGAGCAGCGTAGCTGGGAGGCCTGAGGAGCAGCAGCTTGGCTGGAGGCAGGACGTGTGAAAGGACGGTGAGTGACGGAAGCTGGAGCTGGCGTCAGGAAGAACCGCAGGCCAGGGTGGAAGCCCCACATGGGCAACCGGCAGCGATAAGAAGCTTTTGCACACAAAAAAATACTTTAAAAAGAAGGATGCTTTGGCTTTATTGTGCAAGAGAGACTAAAAAAACCACCAAACTGGGGCAAGGAGATTCATTGGTATGACAAGCAGTGTCCAGGACAGAAGCAGAAAGGTCTAGGCTGAAGGAACTGGCTACAGGTGGCAAAAAGTGGAGCCCAGGTACTGCAAAGACAGGCTTTGAAGGCGCAGAAAGGGTTAACGCTGACTCACCCCCCCGTCAAGACGTAAGAGAGACGACTCCTCAAGGACTACATCCTCCTTTTAGAGTCTTCAGGGTAGATTGTTTCACCTGTCCACGTCCACTGGGGGACACAGAATGAGGACTCCCTGCCTCCGCGTGTGCGTGTGCATGTGTGTGTGTACTGGAAGTCAGTCTTGTCTGTTGGTACGTTCTTCAAACACTGTCTACCTTGTTTGGGAGGGCAGGAGAAAAGGATCTCTCACTGACTTGTAACTCATCAAGCATTAGGATTACAAGGGTGTACTACCATGTCTGGCTTTTTTTTTTTAACGTGGGTGCTGGGGATCCAAACTCAGGCCCCCATATTTGCACAGCAAGCTCTTTACCAATTGAGCCATCTTCCCAGTTCAACCTGCCTTCTCGGATTCTCTCTCTCTGTTTGTTGCATGTATAAGTATGTGTGACGTGTGCATGTATTCACATGTGTCCTAGTTTGCTTTCTGTTGCTGTGATAAAACACTGACCAAAAGCAACTTGGAGAGGAAAGGGTTACTTGGCTTACAGCTTGCAGTCCATCATGAGGGAAGCCAAGGCAGGAACTGAGACCATGGAGGAATGCTGCTTACCTGCTCACTTCTCCTGGCTTGCTCAGCTGCCTTTCTTACATAGCCCAGGAACACCTGCCTAATATGGCACCGCTCACAGTTGGCTGGGCCCTCCCACATCAACTAGCAATTAAGAAAATGCTTCACAGACATGGCCATAGGTCAGTCTAAGAAAGTCTTCAGTTCAGGTTCCCTCTTCCCAGGTATCTCTAGTTTGTGGCAAGTTGACAAAAACCAGCACAACATGTATGTGGACAGGTACATGTGTGTGCATATGCATATAGAGGCCAGAGGTTGATGTTGGGTGTCTTCCTCGATTGCTCTCCACCTTATATTGAGATAAGGCATCTCATCTGAGCACAGAACTTCCTAGTTTGGATAATCTAGGTAGCCAGTCCCGTCTTCATCTCCCATACACTAGAATTACAGGTGGACTACCATGCCCACCTGGCGTCCACATGGGTGCTGTGGACCCAAACTCTGGTCCTCACACTGGTGCAGCTTGTGCTTTACCTACTGAGTCAGCTCACCAGTCCCTCTTTCTCTTTCTTAAGACTTCTAGTCTCTGCCATCCTCAGATCATAGGTGGTCAGAACAGAAAGGATCATGAATGGAGCCTCCTTTGTAAGAGGGGAGGAAGCACCCCAGAGAAGGAAGTCGGTGCTGGAGCCAGGATAGGCACACTGGGTTAGATCTGCTGTTGTCCTCTGGACCTGGAGCGTTTCTTTTTCCCCAAAGCCATCGGGCCAGGCCAGCCCACCTTCTTGTTGCCTGGGCCTACACTACTTTCAGATCTTCCTGTGCTGCTCTCTACTGAGGCTTCCCTTACCAGCAAAAAGGGCAACAGCAGGAGCCGCACCATGAGTCAGGAGAAATCCCTGGAGGGACACAGTTGTATAGAAAGGCCCGGCCCTGTGAGGGCTCAGGTAGTAACCATTCAATTCTCATTTCTTTTTGCAGATCCCACTCACCCCACTCCAGCCACCATCAGAGCCACCAGCCTCCCCATCTCTGAGCACTGCTGAGGGACCAGCCACCTTACTGCCCCTAGGACACTGTGCTGGGCAAAGAGAGGTAGGAGGGGTGGGTGTTGGGGTTTGTGGTCTTACTGGCTAGAGGCTTCACTGCCAGTCTCTAACAAACCCAAGGAAGGGCTGTTTACCATGCACAGACTCCTGTCTAGGCTAGAAGTGTGAGCCCTCAGCTATTAGCCTCATACCAAGAAAAACAGGTCTACCCTCCCCAGCCTACAAGCAAATGTATGAAGTCATACAGTAAGAGTCACAGCTAACACTTACAGATTCATTTCATGCTGGCCGCTGTGCAAGACACCTTGGGGTTCTTTTATTATATGGAGATAAACGTAATCACTATATCAATTCACAAATGACACTATGAAACTTCAAAGTCAAATGACTTGCTGAAGGTCCATATAACTAGGCGGAACTGGGACTTGATACATAATCTGACTCCAGAGAAAATGTCGTTAGCCACTGTACCAAACACTGGGAGGGACAGAGTAGCAGCAGAGAAGGGTTTGCGTGGAGTCCCCCCCAGGCCCCTTCTGCTGGCAGTCAGGTCTGTGGGTCAGCTCTCTGACCTAGGAAAACCGGGCTTGCCTGCAGTGAGTGGCTTAGGTCTTGGCTGTGTTACACCCTCTTCTTGAATCTTTGTTGTCTCTGGAGACTGAAAAATACTCACAGGCCTCCCTCCCTAGGACAAGCATAGAATTCAGAGTTGTAGCTGGTCAGGCCTGCCAGTGCAAATAGTAGGGACAGGAGGCCGGACATGGGGGGTTCACCCTACACCAAGTGTGCAGGCACAAAAGCTGGGTAACTGGGGCTCAGCACTCCTTGAGGAATCCCAGCTATCACATCCCAGGGACTATGAACCGTTTGGGGACCACACAGCCAAGCCAGATTGTTCTGGCATACTCACCTATGTCTAGCTCAGGGCCTGGGCCTAGAACCACCTGCCAGCGACACACAGTCTCTTCCTCATGCCTCCTCTCCCCTCAGGTGTGTTGGGAACAGCAGTTGAGGCCAGGAGGCCCAGGCCCCCCCGCCACCCCACCCCCAGCGCTGGATGCCCTGTCCCCATTTCTTCGAAAGAAGGCCCAGATTTTGGAGGTGCTGCGAGCCCTGGAAGAGACTGATCCTTTGCTTCTGTGCTCACCTGCCACCCCTTGGCAGCCTCAAGGCCAAGGCCCTGGCTCCCCAGAGCCCATCAATGGCGAGCTATGTGGCCCACCCCAGTCTGAGCTCTCACCCTGGGCACCCTATCTGCTGCTTGGTTCTGGGAACCTGGGAGGCCTGCTGCACTGGGAGCGTCTCTCAGGGGGCTCAGGGGAAGAAGAAGGTTCCAGGCAGCCCTGGACTTCTAGTAGAGGCCCACCACCAGCCCAGGGCCCCAGCTCTGGCACACACTGTGCCCCAGGCAGCAGCTCCTCCTCATCTTCTGATGAGGCAGGTGACCCCAATGAGGCACCCAGCCCCGACACCCTGCTAGGTGCCCTGGCCCGCAAGCAGTTGAACCTGGGCCAACTCCTTGAGGACACAGAAACTTACCTCCAGGCCTTCCTGGCTGGGGCTACAGGCCCACTCAATGGCGACCACCCTGGTCCTGGAAAGCCATCCTCCCCAGACCCAGGACCCCGACAGCTGTCCAAGTCCAAAGGCCTCCCGAAGTCAGCTTGGGGTGGAAGTACCCCAGAGGCCAACAAGCTGGGCTTTGGTGCTACCTCAGAGGGCCAGGGGCCCCTTCCCTTCCTCAGTATGTTCATGGGTACAGGGGATGTCCCACTGGGATCACAGCCTGGCCACCCCCACTCTTCATCTCAGGTGAAAAGCAAGCTCCAAATTGGGCCCCCTTCTCCAGGGGAAGCCCAGGGACCCCTTCTACCCTCTCCAGCCAGAGGTCTCAAGTTCCTCAAACTGCCTCCGGCCTCAGAGAGGGTCCCCAGTCCAGGAGGCCCCCAGCTCAGCCCCCAGCTCCCCCGAAATTCTCGAATCCCTTGTCGTAACAGTGGTTCAGATGGCAGCCCCTCCCCACTGCTGGCCCGCAGGGGTCTAGGTGGCGGAGAGCTGTCCCCAGAGGGAGCACGCGGCCTCCCCAGTAGCCCTTCTCCCTGCTCCACAATCCCAGATGCTGTGCAGCTCAGAACCCCCCAGACAGCCTCGTCCACTACACTGTCTCCCAGACCAGTAGTGTCTCCCTGCTACGAGAACATCCTGGACCTTTCCCGGAACACCTTTAGGGGGTCCTCCCCAGAGCCACCTCCATCCCCGCTGCAGGTGCCCACCTACCCACAACTGGCTCTGGAGGTACCTCAGGGGCCTGAGGTCCTCAGGAGCCCTGGAGCCCCCGGTCCTTGTCTCCCAGAATCCTGTCCTTATGGGAGCCCCCAGGAGAAGAGTCTAGACAAGACTGGCTTGGAATCTCCGCACCCCAGTCGCAGGACCCCAGGCAATTCATCCAAGAAGCCTGGTCAGGGGTCCGGGCGGCGACCTGGGGATCCTAGCTACACACCGCTGCGGGACAGACTGGCAGCCCTAGGAAAACTGAAGACAGGCCCAGAGGGGCCCCTGGGCCAAGAAAAGAATGGGGTGCCAGCCAGGCCTGGCACTGAGAAGGTTCGGGGAGTGGGGAGATCAGTTGAGAGTACTGGAGACATGATACCCCCCACCAACAAACCCCTTGAGCAGCCAGAAGCTAAGGGAGTCCTTCGGGGAGCAGTGGCCTTAGGCACAAGCAGCCTGAAGCAGCAGGAACCTGGACTTGGAGATCCTGGGACCCGAGTCTACTCTTCCCACTCCATGGGGGCTCGAGTGGACCTGGAGCCTGTCTCACCAAGGAGCTGCCTCACCAAAGTGGAGCTGGCCAAGAGCCGGCTGGCAGGGGCCCTGTGTCCCCAGATGCCCCGGGCCCCTGCAAAAGTGCCATCCTCAGGCCCTAGCCTGGGCAAGCCCAACAAAAGCCCTCACAGCAGTCCAACAAAACTACCCTCCAAGTCACCCACCAAGGTGGTACCCCGGGCTGGGGTCCCCCCAGGCACCAAGGAGCCTCCCAAGCCTGATAAGGGGAAGGGCCCACCGTGGGCAGACTGTGCCAGTACACTGGGCCAGCCTACATCCCCAGTACCTGGTCCCACCGATCCAATCCAGGGCCCTGAGGGGTCAGCCCCACATTCAGCTATTGAGGAGAAGGTGATGAAGGGCATTGAGGAGAACGTGTTGCGCCTCCAGGGCCAGGAGCGGGCACCAGGCTCTGAAGCCAAGCATCGCAACACCAGCAGCATCGCCAGTTGGTTTGGCCTTAAAAAGAGCAAATTACCAGCGCTGAACCGCCGCACCGAGGCTACCAAGAACAAGGAAGGAGCTGGCGGGGGCTCCCCACTGCGGAAGGAGATCAAGACAGAAACCCGGAAGCTGGAGGCAGAGAGCCTCAACATCTCCAAGCTTATGGCCAAGGCTGAAGACCTACGCCGAGCACTGGAGGAAGAGAAGGCCTATCTGAGCAGCAGGGCTCGACCACAACCTGGGGGCCCAGCCACAGTGCCCAGCCCAGGGTTGGGGCAGGTGCAGGGTCAGCTAGCTGGCATGTATCAGGGTGCAGACACCTTCATGCAACAGCTACTCAACAGGTGAGTGTGTGGGACCAGTCAGCAGGTACACAGCATGGGGTACACCCGATTCTAGACCTGGAGCTGCCTCGAAAGACTGAGCTTCCCAGAGGTCAAAGGGAATACCATACCACCAAAGCATCTGTAAGCTGATGACCTGGCCTAGAGGAAAGGTTACGACTCGGAAATTGGATTTACACCTGTTGGCCTCCTCACTGGCTAGCTGGTGTCAGTTCTGGAAAGACTAGCTCTCATTTGAGACAAGTTAGTAATTCCCATTTTTCTGATTTCTACCCTAGTAGCAGCCCCTGAGGTGCCTAATGCACTAGTTAAGTGGATGCCAGATTCCAGCTGGACTGACCTGCCTCAGGGAAGGAACAAGAAAGATCCACTGCCTATCTTCCCTTTGACAACACCCACAAAGGGAGTCATGGTTACTTTACATGGATAACTATCTAGATCAGTTAGTCAAAAAAGGCTGAAGGACTTCAAGCCTAGAAGGGCAGTATTTGGACTACAATGTTAGAAATCCCAGGGCAGCAGGTAGAGAGTATTGCACATGATCCAGAATATGACCTGGTCTGCCAGTGTTGACCCTGGGAAGATTTGGAGGAGGACTGCCACCTTCCCTCTTGCCCCAGATATTCTCTGGGCTTTTTCCTACAGGAACAACCAACCATATGTCCCCTTCTCCTGGGTGGATTTGAGTGCCTCTCTAAAGCACTTGAACCCATTTGAGGGTTCAAGGCTGATTTATTAGTCCATTTTGTGACACTAATAGAATACCAGGGTACTTACTATTTTTTCCCCCGAGTTTACGTTATTAAGCCATCTACTCCCACAAGCAAAGGGATGGAATGAAAGGTTGCTATAATGGTCACCATTTGATACAAGAAAAGATGAGCTTAACATCCCATATACTTTTCTCATCCACATGCAGAGTAATGGTCCAAACCAATGCTGTGGCCCCTGTTACGTGGGTGCAGGTCCAGGTTTTTTTTTTTTTAACTCATCTTCATTGCCAATCAGAAGTGGGTTTGGTGAGGGTTACAGAAAAGGGTATGGTTACCATCTCCTCAAGGAAAGGGCTTGGTCCCGATGCAAAGATGGGAGTAGGTGACAAGCTTGGGTCTCTCGTGCTCTCCATACTTCAACTTCAGGAAAATGTTCAGCATGCTCATTGCCACCCCAGGCAGCGCCATGATGAAGGTGAGGCCCCTCCATCCTTGATATGGGCAGCCCCACCTGGGGGCGAGCCCAGCCCAGCAGCCAGGACACCCGAGACATACGAAGGCAGGGTACTTTATACCCTGGAGGGTTAGAGGTCACATCTGGTGATCACCTTCTGCTGCTAGAGTTTTGGGGTGACCCAAAGAGTCATGGAATGAGATAGGGAGTGTGCATGTATGTGTGTGGTGTTGCTGGTCTCCCTCTTCTAAAGCCACCAGGATCTAGCCACAGGGGTCTCTTCCCTAATGACCATGTCTAATTCTAGTCATTTCCCAAAGGCCCCTCCTCTGAAAGAAAGATTGCATTTCAACACCTGAAGCCTTGGGAGACAGCTATGTCAGAATCTTATCAACTGGCATGACTCCTGGGTGTCAACTTCCCTCACTTCCATTGCACTGTTGTCCCTAGGGTGGATGGCAAGGAGCTGCCACCCAAGAGCTGGCGGGACCCCAAACCTGAGTATGGCGACTTCCAGCCAGTGTCCACTGACACTAAGAGCCCCTGGCCAGCCTGTGGGCCCCGGAATGGCTTGGTGGGTCCACTTCAGGGCTGTGGAAAGCCTTCTGGAAAGGTAAGGTCTTGAATGGGGGCTGTGTAGAGGGCCTAAGGCCAGGCCCCCCATACCCACATTCTTGCTCCCCAGAAGTGGGAGGCTTGGGGAGGCACTGGAATGGACACCCAGGTCTCCTGTACCCACACAGCCCAGCAGCGAGCCAGGCAGGCAGGAAGAGATGCCCTCAGAGGATAGCCTGACTGAGCCAGTTCCCACCTCACACTTCACAGGTCAGCAGGGTTGAAGATGGGAACTGCTCCTGTCCCTACCCCACTTTATTCCCTGTCACCACAGCAGTGCTGGGTCCTGAGTGACTTGGTGCCCAGTCCTGGCTGGGTGGTGGGGAAGCTCCGGGGCTGTGTAGGCATAATTCTCCTTACTCCCAGTGACGCTTGTGCCAAGCCGAGGACCAGTGATGGGGAGTTGTGTGGTGAACCTGTTAAGGCAGAAAAACCCTGAGTGGGGTGGCCTGAAGCTGGGGGAGGGAGCAAAGGGGCTGAGCCCCTGCCTCATACCTTCCACATGCCCTCTCCTCAGCCTGTAGTTCCTTGACAAGGACCTTGGACAGTGGCATTGGGACCTTCCCGCCCCCGGATCATGGCAGCAATGGAACTCCCAGCAAGAATCTTCCCAAGAGCAAGTCACCACGGCTGGAGCCCCCACCAGGGGTGCCCCCAGCTCGGCCTCCAGCCCTTACCAAAGTCCCCCGCCGTGCCCACACTCTGGAGCGGGAGGTGCCAGGCATAGAGGAGCTGCTGGTGAGTGAGCGGCACCCCAGCATGCCAGCCTTTCCTGGGTTGTTCACTGCTCCTCCAGGCCACCGAGGCCATCAGACCTGTCCCGATGGTGAGTGTCCTGGTAGGTGAGTAGGACGTCCCCCAGAGCATCCTGTGAGCTGGACAGATCATCTACTTTCCCCTTCTTCCTGGACAGATCCCTGTGAAGACCCAGGTCCTCCCCCACCCATCCAGCTAGCCAAGAACTGGACCTTCCCCAACACCAGAGCAGCCAGCAGCTCCAATGACCCCTTCCTGTGCCCAACCCGACAACTGGAGGGGCTGCCTAGGACCCCCACGGTGAGACTACAAAAGGGAAAAAGGAAGAGATTTGAGTGGCAGGGGCGGGGGTTGGGGGGTAACCTGGAGAGACCACTGTCTCTAGTAAGTACATACAGCCTGAGCAGTCCATGAGGGTTGAGGGTGAGTGAGCCCATCCACTCCACCTCAGGAGAGGGCTTCCATCACTCCCCAGAACCTTGATAGGACTGTGTGTACCCTCAGCTTGCCTCAGTGGACCCCCTCAGCAGTTTAGGTAGACAGGGTGCCTTTCAGGCTGGGCTTGAAAGTGGAAAGGAGCATCCTCTGAGCAGTCTGTCCTCTCTAGGCCCTGCCCATGGACCGCAAGCGGGACCTGGAACCCAGCCACACATCTTCTACGCCTCAGGTCCCAGCATTTGGAGGCAGTCGCACCCCTAGTACTTCAGACATGGGCGAGGAAGGCAGAGTGGCCAGTGGGGGTGCTCATGGACTGGAGACCTCAGAGTCCCTTAGTGACTCGCTCTATGACTCACTGTCCTCCTGTGGGAGTCAGGGCTGAGGGGCTGTGTCCACTGCAGTCCCTCTGGAACTAGGGACCCCAGACTGGACCCGTGCTCATGCCCCACGACTTGGAGCCAGCTAGTGGGGCTTGACCTGAAGGGACCAAGGAGAAAAGTGACTAAGAAGGTGACAGGGGTCCCTGGAGTACCCCACTGCTTCTGCGGATGAGATGACCATGCTCCGCTCAGGGAGAGACCCCACCCCTGGTCCCTTCGCTTACTGAGAATAAGGCTCTTCTCTAAGGGACTGGAGGCTCCAGGCCGCTTTGTCCCAGCTCCCACTTCAGGCTGAGCCATCTTGTGGTGCTGGGCTTCCTGCCCACCAGCTGTGCCATCTCTGCCCAACCTGGCTGCAACCCTGCCCCGAAGCCCCCATGGGGCCATTCTGGAGACCCCGTGCTTGTGGAGTTGGGGGTGAGGGGGACAAGTTGCCTTCTCTCTCTTCCCTGGTCCTCCCTGCTGTCTGAATGGTGCTGCCCTCTTCACCCCATGTCTTTGGGGTCTGTTTGTCTTTGCATTTTTGTTT